TTTCCCTACTTTGAGAACGCGAAACAAGCAAAATAAAAGGAATATATATAACACTTAATCTTAATAATATACAAACGGGCAGGGGAATTGATAGGAATGCAGACCAGAAATCTGCATGCAAGGGAGAAGGTGTATAGCAGACTGCCTAGCCCAGGGGCAGGAAGGGGTAGGAAAGCGAGATATCTGCTTTGGAATTCGATAAACTCGATTCTACCCTTGGTCAACCTCTCTTCCCTCACAAAATCCTCATATCATGCCCCGAACCAGTTGTAACTTTTCCTAATTCCGGCTGTAGGAAAGCCTTAACACGTTCACGCCGGCGCGTACCACCGGTGGCTCGCGCTTGATTGCGCCATCGGGCGGCGCGTACCACCGGTGGCTCGCGCTTGATTGTGCCATCGGGCGGCGTGTACCACCGGTGGCTCGCGCTAGACGCATCATCGGGCGGCGTGTACTACCTGTTAGACACTGATAATTTAACGTACATACATAAAAACGTGTATTTTGAATAAAAATTATAATTAATAACGTATTATGAACATAAATTTTGCTTAATAACACACACATAAAAATTCAGTATTATGAATGTAACTTCAACACTCAAATCTTCCCCCGAGGAACATTTCATAACGTTGCTGTTTACGTTAACAAAATCTTCGCCTGAAGAGGAAGAAAGTATTCGTAATCTTGATGCGTTTCTCCTGCCTCTATTTACACATTCATGAGACGAATCACTTATTTCCATATCCATGTTATGGGCAAAATTAAAAAAATATTTTTAAGGGCAAAATTTAAAAAAATATTCTAACCACCTTTTAGTTATTTTTACTAACAGAAATCTGTGGTTAGGATATAAAAAACGGCACGAGTCACATAATTTGCAAAGTAAGCGCTCAATGTAATACTGAAGAAACAAGAAGCGCGTGCAAGTCTGAACACGCGAGAAATGCGCGCCGCCAGATGAAGCGCGACATAGATTTGTGTGCCGCCGTTGGGGGAAACAAATGAAAATTGGCGCCGGCGGGAACGTGTTAATCCTGAATGGCCCTTATTAGATTCCCCAAGGTGCGGCCTAAAATTATTATAGGGTCCAGTCCCGGTATGCTACCTCAAACAATTCTAAAGAAATATCGCATGGATTCCACATTTAACCGAGACGATACTTTAAAATGGAGTCAAAAGTCTACAGGAACAAGCTAAAAATTGTATGTCTTTGAGATTACTGTTCCTCCCCAAGACTCTAAACTGATTGACTGGAATTGAACCCAAAATCACTTGCTCGCCTCGACCGGGGTATGGGGAAAGGGAATTAGGGATACATACAATATATCATAATTATTATAACATTTAAAATAGCATAACAGGCGTAATCAGTAAATGAGAAATCAAAGGGTTACCTTTCCTGTAAGAAAGGGGGTTAGTAACATGTCAAGCACATTTTCAACCATCCGATATAAATTTTCAATGAATTGTGGCAAATCGTCCTCATGTCATTATAAAGAAAAATGAAAATGAGAATGAAATTTCCAAAATAAGAAGTTAACGAATAGTCGGTCCAATCCCGACAACACTGTCAGAGAATCACAACTAAATGTTTACCAATGGTATAGAGGGGCCTTAGTCAGTTAATTATTCTTTTTCAAAATGAAATTCAACATATAATGAATGAACCGTAAATGAAGCAAAATAGAAATCCGTTAAAAAATTATGAATTCTTTAATAGTAAAGCAAAAACGGGATAATTCCCACCTTAGTGCACAATATTTCTGTTTTTCTTTTCTATATTTTTCTTATAAAAGAAACAACAACAAAAATATTAAAATATTTCTACAAATCATAATTAGGGAAGACCGAAGAACAATATAAAAAATGACAAAATTATTAAAACACAAGTAGGATTGGGGGGGGGGGGTCTTAAAATTATCAAACATAGAAGTTAACGCAACGAACAATTCAAAATTTCTTCAAATTTCACGATCTCAGTATTTGTTTTTTTCAATTATTAGGAAACTACCAAATTCTTGCATATAATGGGTGAGAGTTTAATCGACTCATCGTTAATATTTTTACAAATTTATTCCCAACTGCCACCATAAGGAAATGCTAAACCAAGTTAAAACAGAAATCCCAATAGTTTAACTAATCGCGACAAACAATTAGGGACTCGCAGATCTATTTTAATAATTCAATCTCAATATTTACCAATTCTTCGGAAAAGAATGCAAGCGGGTTGTCATTGGGTAGGGTGACGTAACAATCGCGGCGATAGTGGCTTGACGACACGCAAAAAAACAAGCGAAGGGGGTGGTCGCATTCCCCACGGGAAGGAAGGAGGAGTGGGGGAAAAGGACGCTATCTAATATTTTTCTATTTCATTTTGTTAATTTTACATCCTAATAAATTGTCGCAACGAGGATTTGCCATACGCGACGCGAGCTCACCAGAAAGTCTCAAGATTCAAAAGGGGCGGTCCGAAAGGACTGGCGCTCCTGCGCACAGTTTCCCGGGCCCCACGTTGGGCGCCAAAATTTGCGACGTGGTTTCCGTCACAAAGCTGGACACCCGAACACTATCACTCGCGGAATGGCCGCCAGTCGCCACCGGGCGACGCTAAATCCCGAACTCTACTTCGCGACTCTACACTCGTGGTTCGCAATACTCGGGGTCGCGGGTTCCCGGTCTAAGAAACGCTACTTATCATACGTCGCGATCGCGTCCTCCTCGCTGCTACCGGTCACTGAGTTTACATTTATCGAAAATGGCGCGGCCCTATTTGACAGGGACCGGACGCCTCAACAAGATCAAAAGAAGAAAATATAGTCAAGACCGCATGGCCAATACCTTAATTGTTGACGCAAGTTCGTCTCTGTACCTCCTTTGATCTCTCTTTTTCTCTCCCTCTCACTCTCAAACTAAAAACTAAAATCTCAATCGCTTCTTTGGCACACGCTTGGGCTCGTCGGTGGCTCATCCAGGAAGAAGGACCCAGGCTCCCTTTGTTTTTTATTATCCGGCAACACGCGCGAGCCGGCCACTTCCCCCACCCGATGACCGATCCGATTGGCCGGCGCATCCGAAAGCTTCGGCCATTGGCCCGGAGCACGCGCCTCGGGTCGCTCATCAGAGCGGGATCCAGGCCATCCGAGGATCGATGGCAAATTCGGCGTAATTGCCCCTGATTGGCCGAACCTCCCCTTGCGGGGTCCTTCCCGACCGGCAACGCCGTGCTTCAGGCTGCCGCCGCATCCCGCGCGCGCGGCGCCCGTTCCTCCCTACCGGCAAAGAATACAGATGTTTACATAGAAGCCCAGAAGGATACGGGCCTCCAATACACGAAAAAGTTGGCTAACATTTTAGTTATGTTAGCCAACTGCATGGTGGCGCCGTGGTCGCTTCCACCCCTCTCTCCCTGCCATTTTCTATCTCATGTTCTCTCATTATGTTGGAAATACATTCTCTCTTCGTCTTACTCACACTGGCTACCGGGTCTCTCCCACTCTTCTCGGAGAAACTCCGCCTCCTTCTATACATCTCTCTTTCTCCCGTGGTGTCGAATACAGTTGGCTAACACATGCGTTCTCTCTCTTACGACGTCGTTCCTTCCCATGTATCACTCCGCGGGCAGAAATTCCCGTCGGTCTATGCGTGTCTCTCTTTCTCCGCCACCTAGGATACGTGGCTAACACGTGCGTTCTCTCTCTAACAGATCGTCCGTTCCCCTTCCATGTACAGTGACGGGAATGAATGCTGTCTCTTCCTGTACTTGCCATACCATATGCATAAGGGGGCATTCATGTCCGTCAGTGTACCTCTTTCGACATTCTATGTGTATCTCTTTTTCTCTACCACGAAGAATACGTTGGCTAACACGTGCGTTCTTCCTCTTACAGACGTTTTCCCTTTCTATGTATCTCTCTTCTGGTGGGAAGCTTCCATCATTCTATGCGTGACTCCACCATGCAGGATGCGTTAGCTAACACATATGTTCTCTTTCTCACAGACGTCCGTTCCCCTTCCATGTACGCCACGGCGGGCAGAATATCGCCGTTTTATGCATTCTTTCTTTCTCCCACCATCTAGAATACAACACATGCGTTCTCTTTCTCGGCGTTCTCCCTTTCTTACCGCGTTGTGTTTCGTTTCGGGCGTCCACGTGCTGCGGGTTAGGGTATTTAAATTCATTTAAAGAACTTTTTATTTTCGTAAATTACTACCGCGATTAAGATGCCGTCCAGAAGTGTGTGCGTGTACCGTGGATGTCGCAATTCTAGGACGAAGAATGGAAATAAATCTTTCCACCGTTTTCCTAAGGACCAAAATCTGTAAGTAGTACACTATATAAATAGAAAACGTAATTTTATATTCTGTATATTGTTGTCTCTAATATCATTTAAATGATAATTGAAGAGGTTGCGTCGAATATAAGTGCTCCCGCGTGTTCGGTCGCAGATTTGTAAAATAGGTTAAAATAGGTTGAGTTACGAACGTACCCGTAAATATTCTTAGGGTCTATGTTCTTTTGAGACAATAATCGAGGGGCTATTCACTTTTAGGCGTTTCAAATGATCATGAACGGTCGAATTCGATAAATTTAATCTCTCAGCAATTTCACGAGTTATTATTCTCCGGTTTGCATCAATTAATGCCTTTATTGTGTTTTCATCAGCTTTAAATGGCCTTCCAGAACGTGGTGCATCTTCAATATCAAAATTGCCGGATCGAAATTTTGCAAACCAGTTTTGACCCTGGCGTTCTGTTAATACATCTTCTCCATACACGTCGGATAATTTTTTTCTTGCTTGAACAGCATTTTTACCTTTTCGATAGTAAAAAAGTAAAATATGCCGAAAATGCCGCTTTTCACTTTCCATATTTGAAAGGGTACCAACCAAAAACTACTGCGTAGAATCTTTGATGTCGAAGCTACAGTTTCCACTTTTCTGATCTTCGCTGGTGTCTCGGATTGGTCCAAGTTCTCATCGCACTCCTTAGATTTCAAGTTAATCGATGAGTATCATTTTTCCAATTCTTCGCTTGGTCCCAACAAAGTCTTCTATATATCCTTCTGCTAATGTGTCTGACCTCCATCCATCATGTCTTTTTATGGTTGTTATATTTGCTCCAGAATCAGTAAGAAGTGTTGCTGAAGTTCTTCAGAAGCTGTGTCCGGTGTACGATTCAACATCAGCCAATCCTAAATACCTGTAATAGTAATATTTCAAGTATTGTCCTGTCCAAACAGAAATCATATCAGCATAAGATGGTTCTTATGAAATACTTACTTGGCGATTTGTTTCGACATTGAAGAGAGTTTATTTTTTCCATTGGGTTATTTCGTAAACTTCCCATCGTGGTAGTTGAGAAAGAATCGTTGTGTATCGACATTCTTAGGGCGCTAGGTAATGAATCTTTTTACGATATCGTAAAAACTTCCCTCAATTGTAAATGATCGAGGTTTCTTCTTTTTTAACATCATTTATCTTCACGAGGAAAATTCCAAAATGTTCTGTAACGTCATGCGTAGTCACATTGGTGAGTTCACATCCTCGGCATGCTNGATTTCACGAGTTGTTATTCGCCGGTTTGCATCAATTAATGCCTTTATTGTGTTTTCATCAGCTTTAAGTGGCCTTCCAGAACGTGGGGCATCTTCAATATCAAAATTGCCGGATCGAAATTTTGCAAACCAGTTTTGACCCTGGCGTTCTGTCAATACATCTTCTCCATACACGTCGGATAATTTTTTCTTGCTTGAACAGCATTTTTACCTTTTCGATAGTAAAAAAGTAAAATATGCTGAAAATGCCGCTTTTCACTTTCAATATTTGAAAGGGTACCAACCAAAAACTACTGCGTAGAATCTTTGATGTCGAAGCAACAGTTTCCACTTTTCTGATCTTCGCTGGTGTCTCGGATTGGTCCAAGTTCTCATCGCACTCCTTAGATTTCAAGTTAATCGATGAGTATCATTTTTCCAATTCTTCGCTTGTTCCCAACAAAGTCTTCGATATATCCTTCTGCTAATGCGTCTGACCTTCATCCATCATGTCTTTTTATGATTGTTATATTTGCTCCAGAATCAGTAAGAAGTGTTGCTGAAGTTCTTCAGAAGCTGTGTCCAGTATACGACTCAACATCAGCCAATCCTAAATACCTGTAATAGTAATATTTCAAGTATTGTCCTGTCCAAACAGAAATCATATCAGCATATGATCGTTCTTATGAAATACTTACTTGGCGATTTGTTTCGACATTGAAGAGAGTTTATTTTTTTCAATGGGTTGTTTCGTAAACTTCCCATGTTGGTAGTTGAGAAAGAATCGTTGTGTATCGACATTTTTAGGGCGCTAGGTAATGAATCTTTTTACGATATCGTAAAAACTTCCCTCAATTGTAAATGATCGAGGTTTCTTCTTTTTTAACATCATTTATCTTCACGAGGAAAATTCCAAAATGTTCTGTAACGTCATGCGTAGTCACATTGGTGAGTTCACATCCTCGGCATGCTCCGCAGATGCCCAGAATCAAAGCAGCCTGTAACGTAACATTTGTTATTGTAATTATTTTATTCTACATATTTAGCATACTTTTGTATATATATTTATTTACATATTTCAATCAATTCTATAGTTAATTTTTTATTTTTATTTATTCACAATTTTATATGTATTTTTAAATGATGTCACATACCTTTGTAGCTAAATATTGCACACCAGGAGCTTCTTTTAAGAATCGCTCAACGTTTTGCGACGATAGATTTTAAGATTTCTTGCTTCGAAATCCGTTTGACTTGCGTTTCAGAAACATTAACAACAAGTTGTAGGCACCGATGTTAAGGTTATGTCTCAGTTGTATCGTGCTTTTTAGCATTGAATAATGCGCCCATAAAGCTGAAGGCCTCCAGGTCTGTGCGAGCTCTTGAAAATAAGTCAGCATGACCGATTCGGAAATGCTTTTAGTGCTTCGCGTATTTTGCCACTCGCGAAATTTATCGTAACTAGCATGATATCGTTCCTCCGATTTTTGCGGTAATGAACCTTGGACGACATTGGTAGCGGTTTCTTCGATATCAGGCGGTGTTTTCCACTCGTCATCACTTCCATGCGTAGTCATTTTTACTATTTAAAACTCGATTTACTATTTTTACTATTTAACTCGATTTTTTCTTTCGCTCAGAGACCATCGGAGACTTTGGGCTCGCTAACTACAGTGAACGTAGCAAAGCGCGATATCGCCTTGCTCTGTCGCTGTTGTNGACGATACTGTCGTGCTTTTGATTCGATATTTATCTTTCGGTAACTGACTCATACTTAGTAAAATGCGCGCCTCTCTATTTAGAGGAAACATCGGGTAACCTCGTAACAGTGCCGACGAATAATATACATTTTTCTTGAAATAAAACAGGTAAATTCTTCTCTTGATACGTGCAGAAATTAAATTAGATCCTTTTATTTCGATCTCAGTTCCGGAATCGTCGAATGACAATCAAGAAATGCGTGACGCAAATGAATAGATGAACCAAATCGTATGTCTTCTTATGCTGCTGAAAAAAAACTCCTCAGGAAAGGAAGGAGCAAACTTACCGATCTTGCGTCCTATAGAAATTATTAACGGGAACGCAACAATAGCAACTTGTGTTTCGAGAAAACGTTCAGCAAACAATACGAGGTGCAGGCGCCACCAATAAGCGAATGATTTTCATGAATCACGAACTTAACGTTTTTTATTGTAAGAGGGGCCGGCTCGAATAATCATGGATCCGTGCAGCACTCCACGACTTCAGTCATTTGTCCACCTTAGTTCGGCTCACGGCGGAACTTCCTGCGTATGTAC